TATTACAATTGTCACATTTATTCAACATAATTTCACTTCAGTTTGCATAACATTAGCCTGATTTCTTATCATCTTCTTATCATCTTGATTAGAAATACATTGCTCTTTGTACTTCACATACAGTTTTCAATTCTGATTACTTCATTGTAACTTAGAATTTGCTTTCTCTCCTTATATCAGTAAATATGTGAACTTCAGTATTTATCAATCACAATACACCCAAAAATTACTTCTTCTGATTGCCCATTCATAATAAAATCACTTCGTTTTTAAATTATTACCTCTTGATCATATTTTTGATTAGATTCAAGATTTGATTAAAGCAAAAATAACTATCAGCAAAAGCACATGCATAAATCTCTGTCACTGCACTCTTTGTTACATTACACCCATGAAAGTTGGATTTTAGGCCTTTTAATTCACTTCTGTCTGTCTTCTTGACACCCTAAATATTCCACAAAAACCTACTGGTCAGAGGATATGCTTCTCTTTATGGTATTTTAAGATTTTAGTACATAAGCAGAATTTTCACCTTTGTTAGCCACCAAACTATAATTAAAGTCTCCAGATTTAGTCACAACCTAAAATATTTACAAAATAATATATAATATTGCAACATAATTACAAAAAAGAACAACAGTCCTCCAAGCCTAAGCATTTAGATTTACCTAGCTGGATTAGATGAGTTTTCAGAAAAGGAAGACGAGCTATTCTACTAGCACACTTAATAATCCAACATAAAATAAGCCTATATATACACGTTTAACAAGCTATCCCCTTGCTTATAAAATAATTCCAACTTTGATTTTCAATCTAGCCAGTACGAAGTGTGTCATAATGTTTTGGTGCCCACACTAGGCGGGTGACAAGTATATCCTGCTTGTCCCAAATGCTCTGGTCCCAGCAGTACTCTGGAGACAGCAGCCTGCTTGGTTTATGAATCCAAAAGTACTTGTTTAGATGGCTCTCATCATGCCACAGAGCCTCCACATCATTTATTTTATCCTCCATGATAGCCAGATAACAAGCATCTACCAAATGCTTTACATTTTGCCACGTTCCTCCAAAGATAGCAGCATGGTAGCAGAAATCTCCAGTTTCCATGAAGGCTTTAGATTTGGGGTTTCTGTCGTAGGTAAACCGGGCTTTTGGTAATTTATAATAGTGGGCATGGAGCAAAGCCACAGAATCACCCAGTGCCTCAGACCCAAATCTCCCCTTAAACTCCTGATCCACATCAAAACAGAAGACATAATGAAATCTGTGACGGATCTCTGACTCTATAGCTTCTGATATTGTCCTCATTCGCATCATAGAAATGTCTTGCCATCTGGTGTGCTTTCCCACCTGGATAACCTTTATGTTTCTGTGAGAAGCAAGTGTGATGTTTGGTACTTTGTCTGGTAAGTCTGTAAACACATAATATGTCACTGGTAATCCCAACATAAAATGTTGTTCTGCTGAGATGAGGAAAGTCTTGAGGTAGGCATCCAGGTACCTTAATGAGAGACAGAGAAAAACAAATGATTTTTTTTATTTGTAAATTATTGCAAAACAATACAAAACCCATCCTGTTTGTATATTTCTTCACTATCTTTGATGCACCAAAAGTAATTATTTCAATCTGAGCCAAGGTTCAATCGTCCACACCCAACAAACAGCAAGGCAAGCTGGTGTTTATTGGTTATGGGTCATAAAGGCCAACTACTCCAGATACTAATTACCAATTACATTTTTAGAAGCTAAAAAAAAAAAAAAAGCAACAAAGAAGGCAACATGCAAGAAAGCAAGAAAAGACCTAGACATGACTATAATGCTAATGCTAATAATAATAATAATAATAATAATAATAATAATAATAATAATAACCGTAGATGTATGTGCACAAATTTATTCAGGTTTAGATGTCTGGATTTCAAAACAGTTTGGTCAAATTTCTTTGTATTTGAGCATGAATTGGAGCACATATTTGTGACTCCTCAAAAGTTACACAGAAATCCATGTACACATTTGTAAACATTTGTTTGTGCTTGTGGATCTTATCATATGCATTTGCAACCCTTTTGCAGGGGTATAAGGCATATTTCCCCCCATAAACTAAAACTAGAGTCACCACCTCATGATTACTTATGTGGGCTAGAGAATTTACAGTTTAAATTCGCCATATTGAACTGATTCAGGCATAGGTATGCCTACATTTCTTATTCATTCTATTCAATTCTATTAACTAGAAGGCACCACTGTATAATAGCCAAGGAATACAGTTTTTATGGAGGAACTGACCGTCCCACAGCAAACACAGTAAGGGCCACTGATGACTTTTCTCCTATGTGTTTTTGATCAAAAAGATTTGGTTCAAACATTCCCTCCCAGATGATAGAAGCATTCCAAGATGTTGATGTCTGAACTGCTGGTCTGGCCCTGGATTAAAAGAACAAAACAAACTAGAAAGCGAAAATTTCAGAAGAAATTTTAAGTGTGCCTATGCCGCTGCCAATGAGTGTAGTTTGCCATTCATACGGCTACAAAAAAAAATCCAAATAAGGGTAGACAGGCCGTACTACTGCTGGCATACCACTAGAGTGAGCCAACACACCACAAATTAAGTG